CCTTTTCCCCCCCCCCCCCCCCGCTTCCTTCTAACATTGATGATGTTACTTAGTTGGGTCGTGAAACATCTGCAAGAAAACCACCCAGCTCAGAGAGCACCAAGGACCCCCCAGTCCTCCTCCTCTCCATGAACCCCACTCCCTTCTAGCACTGATGATGTTCCCTAGTTGGGTCATGAAATGTCTGCAAGAAAACCACCCAGCTCAGAGAGCACCAAGGACCCCCCAGTCCTCCTCCTCTCCATGAACCCCACTCCCTTCTAACACTGATGATGTTCCCTAGTTGGGTCATGAAATGTCTGCAAGAAAACCACCCAGCTCAGAGAGCACCAAGGACCCCACAGTCCTCCTCCTCCTCCTCCTCCTCTCTGCAAACTCCTTTCCCTTCTAGCACTGATGCTATTACCTAGTTGGGTCATGAAACGTCTGCAAGAATTTGAAGACGCTCAGAAAGTACCAAGGATCCTACAGATAGAGGTATTTGCTAACCAATCCCTACCAGTGCAACAAATGTGTATATTTTTTTCAGATATTTATGGATTTCTACTCCCAACCGCCCCAGTCCATAAAGAACAATAAAAGGCCTGCCACAGTAGATTATCAAAACCTCACAGTACTGACCTTGACTTCGTTGGCTTTCTTGATGGGAGAAATATTCCAGGTTGGAATCACCTGAGGAGGCAACGAGTATGATTGGCACCATTGCCATCCAATACAAAAATCAGGAAGTGCATGAATTCTAGGCAGGGCCCACCTCCCGTTCACTCATGTACACTTCCACTCATTCATATTTAGAATGTTCTGAAAATGGCCCCACATTTATCCAGGCTGTTTCAGCAAACAGGGAAAATCTGTTGCCTTATCTTATAATACTAACAAATAAAACAAAAACAGGCCACTTTGGTGTAGGTACCAGGCTAGAAATGGAGAGACGGTGAGTTCTAGTCCCGCCTTAGGCATGAAAGCCATCTGGGTGACTTTGGGCCAATCACCAGGAGACGGGGAGTTCTAGTCCCGCCTTAGGCATGAAAGCCATCTGGGTGACTTTGGGCCAATCACCAGGAGGCGGTGAGTTCTAGTCCCGCCTTAGGCATGAATGAGGGCTGGGTGGCTTTGGGCCAGTCCCTCCCTCTGTGCCCAGCCCACCTCATAGGGTTAGCGTGGATAAAATAGGAAGATGAGAAAGGGACGTTGTTTGTGTTCACAGCCTTGAATTATTTATAAAAATAATGAAAGCAGGATACAAATAAGTGAATACTTTTAAACCCCAGAATATATTTGAAGGGCGGGAGAGAGGAGAGAGAAAGAGAGAGCGCAAAGGTATGAGCTACATGGCTACTATATTTTACTTACCACCCCTTTCTCTACCACTTCTTTCAGCTTGGACCGTGTCATTTTGGGCTCCTGAATTGGGGGAAGGAGGAAAAGAGAGAAAAAGAGAGAAGGAAAGAATGACAAAAAAGAAAAAGAGAGAGAGAGGAAGAAAGAAATAGAGAAAGAGAGAGAGAGAGAGAGAAAAGGAGAGAGGGAAAGAGAGAAAAAGAAAGGAAGAGAGAAAGAGCAAGGAAGAAACAGGAAAAAGAGAAACAGAGAAAGGGGAGAGAGAAGGAAAGAGAAAAAGAAATAGAGAAAGAGGGAGAGAAGAGAGACAGAGGGAAAGAGAGAGAGAGAAGAATGACAAAAAGAAAAGAGAAAAAAAGAAAAAGAAAAAGAGAAAGCAAGAGGAGAGAGAGAAAAGGAGAGGGAGAGAAAAAGACAGGAGAGAGTGAAAAAGAGAGAAAGAGGGGAAGAGAAAAAAGAAAGAAAGAGAGAAAGATCAAGGAACAGAGAGAAAAAATAGAAACAGAGAAAGGGGAGAGAGAGGGAAAGAGAAAAAGAAATAGAGAAAGGGAGAGGGAGAAAAGAGAGACAGAGAAGAGAGGGAAAGAGAGAGAGAAAGAGAGAGAGAAAAACAGAAAGAAAGAGAGAGAGAGAGAGAAAAAAAACAGTTGTTCAAACAACATAGAATCTGCTATGGGGAGACCTGCTATCTCATTTCCCTGCTGAGATATACAGGCCCCTTCTGGGAGACGCCTTCCCCGTCTACTCCAATCCGAGGGCCGCGAGACTTACGAAGACAGGGGCGTCTTCCGTTTCGCTGATGGCTGCTTTCATCATGGCCACCACGTGCTCGTTGGTGATGACCTCCTGCAGGGAAGAAATCAGAGTTTCTCACCTTGCTGAGTTCCAAGCCAGGAAAAGCCACCTGGGGCTTTGAGCGGCCCGTCTCCCTGCCACACTCACGTGAAGGATGTTTCGCACGTTGACGGCTGTCAAATTGTGCTGCTTCGCCCCGTCTTCCAGCGTCCGGTCCAGGGTGTCGTCCAGTTTGAGGTCACAAGCTAAAGTTCTTCCTCCTCCTCCTCCTCCTTCATCTTCCTCGGCGAACTTCCCTTCCCATTTCCTTTTAACTCCCTTCCGCCTGGTTTTTTTCCCTCCTTCTCGTTCATCTGCAAACAAGGAACAAACAGCGGCATTCTTTTAAAAAGGCAGGTGAGCAAACCCTGAGAGGGCTGGGTCCATTATAGACAGTCCTCAGGTTACGACCGCAATGGAGCCTGCCCATCGTGGTTTGTCATAGAACAGAACAGATCAACCCCGCTTACAAAAAATATTTGTGTATTTGGCCCGTTCCGGACTCACCCACTGAAATGAAAAGGGCCGTCTCGTCAGTTTCCGCCTTTACTTCTTGGAGCGAATCGACACTCTGCGCGCCCTCCAGGGATTTCATAGTAGGAGGAACTTCTCCGTCTTCCTGTTCGGCCTCTGGCTTTGGCAAAAGGGAGCAATCTAGAAAAAAAAAGAGAAGAAAAATCGGGGAAAATACCATTTGTGATCAAGAGGATTCTCAAGAAAAGATCTGCAGCATAAGGAGGAACTGATTCCATGTTTCAGAAAGGGGTCAGCAGTTTTGAACACACACAGATGCTCTTCTAAGTTTCTACACATTCCTAACCCATTAATCTGATTATTTAAAAAAATACATTTAAAAGAGACTAAATAAACACAAGACCTAGTTATGTAATCAGGTCTGGAGCTTCCGGGGAACCGAAGATATGTTTAGATGGTTCCATTGTTAAGGTGGTCATTCTTATCCCCTTAGCCTGGGGTTTGTATATTTGTTTCTATAATATTTATCTGCTCGTAATATAATTTTTTTATCTATCTACTTATCTAAGGAAGAGCTAACCTCACCTACGACTTCCGTGGAAATAGGCTGCTCTCTTTTCCATCTTGTGTCAAGGGTTGTATTCTGTTTATATTGTCATTTCATGGGGTATATTTATATCTGATGGTTTTGACGTTTTTATGTTGTAAGCCGCCCAGAGTCGTTTTGAAACAAGATGGGTGGCAAACAAATTTCATAATAAATACGGTATATAAATCTTTTAACATGGATTTATTTTACAGCTGTTGTTTTATTCCACTTATTGCCCACTGTCCACTCTAGCTTTATGTGAGATGGGTGACTGTACAAATTCGATTAATAAATAAAGGGAATAAATTGAGGTCTACCGCTGCTACAGAATCCAGGAGGGTAGAAAAAGGGCCGTCCACAGATATAAAGTCATCAACTAATCCACTTCAGTCCGAGGAGGGTTATAATAATTATTATTATTATAAAGTTGGAAGGGACCTTGGAGGTCATCTAGCCCAACCCCCTGCTCAGGCAGGAAACCCTATACCATTTCAGACAAATGGCTGTCCAGTCTCTTCTTAAAAACTTGGTCTCCTCCAGATCGCCAAGCCGGCTGATCCCACCTGAAGGAGACGCCTCGGTTGGAACAGGCTCGGCTTCGGAAAAGGGATCCATCCGGATGGTTTTCCTCTTCTTGCAGGGCAACATGGCGGGAGAGAGGGACATGGCAGCTAAAGGCTTCCCGACGGAGCGCTGCAAAGACAAAAGAGAATTCGAACTGGCAGGCAAACACAGCGAAAAGTCGTAAAACGGGTCGTGACTCACCTCCCACCTGCCTTGCTTAGCTAGAGAAATCATGGTCCCAGTTGCGGACGTTGGTTAAGTGGGTTTTGCCCCATTTTACGACCTTCCTCGTCCAAGTTGCTAAGCAAATCACTGCAGTTGCTTAAGTTAGGCACCCGGTTGTTAAGTGAATCGGCCTTCCCCCATTTGACTTTGCTCCTTGGAAGGTCGCAAAAGGGGACCGCGTGATCCTGCAAACCGTCACAGAAGCGAGTCGGCTGCCAAGCATCCAGATTTGGATCACGTGACCACAGGGATGCTGCAAACGGTCGTTAAGTGTGAAAAAAACGGTCCTAAAGTCACTAACTTCAAACGGTCACTAAACGAACCGTTGTTAAATAGAGGACGACCTGTATGACACTGTTGTTTATTAAACGCAACGTATTATTCGCAACTCCTAAAAAGAAAGACAGGCTGGTGCAGCGTGGCTGGGGATGATGGGTCTTGGAACTCAACAGGAACCCAGGTGGGAGGAGGGAGACACATCGCCCTAGGAGGATGGGCGTTGTAGTCGAGCGCTTTTTAGAGGATGCCTGGGCCGGCAAAAGCCGAAAGAGACCCCCATAAACCCCAGCCACAGCTGTGGCTGCGGATGATGGGAGTTGTGGTCGTCGCTGCAGGTGACCCCCTCCTCAAACGGTCGCTAAGCGACCGGTCGTTAAGAGAGGACTACTGGACACGTATCGGTCCCCCCCCCCGGACACTAACCGAGGACCTTCCCCGGCGGTTCCCCCACAGTTGCAGCGTCTCATTCCAGCCATTTTTCCTTTCCCCTCAATCCGGAGGCCCCGCTTCCCCGGCCGGAAGCGGAACTGACGTCAAGGAAAGGCGAGAAGGCGCGCTCGCGCATGCGCGACTGAAAAGCCCGGCACGGCCGCCATCTTTCGTGCGGGCCCGCGGAACCGAGGGGAGGGAGCGGCCGGTGGGGATTACGCGACGAAGTTTCTAGAGCCGGCGAGGAGCGAGGGAGAAGACTGTCGGCGTCTGTCGCCGACGAGGCAGAATCTCCCTCAGGACTTAAAAGGGCGAGATTTTAAAAAGGGAAAAGCGATTAGAAGCGAAGGCCGCCATGTTGGTTGCTGGCACGCCGTTTCTTCGCGGATTGTTTTTCCCAAACTTGGAGGGCCGCGTGACGTGAGGGCGGGGCCAGAGCTCTGACGTCACAGGTTCCCTCCGGGCTGTCTTTGCTCGTCATCTCGCAATATTATTTGGAATAATGAATTTGTTTGGGATCGCTTTGTTTTTTTAGAATAGAAATTTTTTTCCCCGGGAGCGATCCGTACCTGAATATGCCATCCATTTATTTATTTTTTTAATTTCTCCAACCCTTATTATTCTTTTTGCTGCATGTCTCCCCGATTCTTTATCCCATACGTTAAATTAAAAATATCTGAGCTCTTGACTCAGCCTAATAAATGCAGGGTTTTCAGTTCCGGGATTATCCTTATTTGCTTAAAAGCATCTGTAAATCCTCCACGCTTCCACACAGCTAAAACAAAACAATGGCTTCAAGTCAGAAAATGCCCTAAATTTAAACAAAACCAAGCTGTAGAAAAAAAAAGATTAAATTCTTTACTAAATGCAATCCCTGAATGGCTATTAGAATACTTTATTAATTGATTAGTCTTGCGGCCTTATCGATAAAAATAAAATACATAATCTGGGTCCAGGTTAAAATAAATGGAAGGCAGTAATAAAGTGCCTATTTAATAATACAAAGAATCAGCAAGCAGGTAAGACGCTCTCCCTTGCAGAGTACCCCAATTTCTTCGATTTATTGGGTTCTTAGCCCAAATACCTTATTTAAAAACTTAGCAGGGCGGTTTACGATATATACGTTACAGCCCAGGAGGAAATAAGACAATCTATCATTCGGTTCCCAATGGGCCGTTCTTTCCAATAGGGATACGTATCTATTTTTACAGATAGCAATTTCCACTGTAGGCTATTAGAAAGTTGCATTTTGCTTGCGCGTTAAAGAAGGTAAATCCATGTGAATTGGCCAGTGCAACAGTCGTACAAAACCCGTAGTATTACAAACCCCATCCTCAGTAACCAAGCGGAGCGGGGGGGGGATTAAAGAGTTCTTTATTCGAACGGCTATTAGACAGATGCACTTGGCTTGCACGTTCAAGAAGGAAAACCCATGTCAGTTCCCCAATGCACCGGTACTACAAAGCCCATCCTCAGTAAACAAAGAGAGCTGGGGGCGGGCGTTAAGAGATTCAAGAGTTCTTTGCTCGAACGGCTATTAGAACGACGCACTCGGTTTGCCCGTTCAAGAAGGAACACCCGTGTTAGTTTCACCAGCGCGGCGGTCCCACACAACCCAGAGTTCAAGTATTACAAAGCCCATCCTCAGTCAGCAAGCCGAGGTTTAAAAAAAAAGTCACTGAAATGGCCATTAGAAACAGGCGTTTCGTTGGCAACGGGTCCTAAATCCCCAGCAACTCCCCCCACCCAAAAAAAAAAAAAGCTCCGCAGAGACCCATCATCCACCGCCAAGCCTGCCCAGTCACCCTCCGGGCGGCTCCATCGCGCAGCGCAAGCGAGGCTGGGTCAGCCAGGTTCCAAAGGGGCGGGGCTTTGCCCGGGCTTCGTTCCAAAGGGGCGGCGTTCTGCCCGGGCTTCGTTCCAAAGGGGCGGAGCCAGGGCCGAGGGAGGACCAGTCGCCCGCTCCTGCATCGCCCTGGGGAGGCGAAGAGCATCTTCAGCGCCGCAACCGCCTCGGGCGCCTCCGGAGCGCCTCGCCCTGCCGCCGCTGCTCCTCCGCCGGCTGCCATGGCCGAGATCGCCAGCGTCCGCCCCAGCTTCGGTGAGTGGGCCGGGGAGAAAGGCCGCTGCGCCATGCCAGCTCCGCGGCGGGCCTTGTGTGCCATAGGCCGGCCTCCTCCTCTTCCTCCTCCTTCTTCTTGGCTGCAGCCCGGCCGTGCCCAGCTCAGCCCGGGCATCCCTCCCTGCTTTGGGAGGCTTGCAAATCCCCGGACGCCCCCATAATCCCCCCTCCCATAATCCCCCCTGGGCCTTGTGGCGTTGCACAACGACCTGCCTTGGCAGCCTCTATCTCTCTCTCTTCCCTCCCCCCCCACCCCAAATTCCCAACCCAGACGGCTCCAAAGCAGGGAATCTTCCCTCTTGATCTTTGCAAGGGGCTGCTGATCTTTGCAAGATTCCGAGAAAAACGCACAAACGCCCCAACGCTACACAAACACACACACACACATACATACACACACACGACCAGCCCTACACAAATAATCTCCCCGCAGCACCCTACCACCCTCAGCCTGCCTGCCTAAAAAAAAAAAAACACGACACCCCCCACCCCATCCTTCTTTTTCTAGCGTTCTCCCTCTTGGAATCGGGATAATCTGATCATTCTGCCGTAATTAAGCCGCAGCGAGCCCTCGATTGCAGAAAAGCATCCTGAGGGAGGAAAGCTGCCCCTTCTCCAGCCGGGCCTTGGCAGTGCCACCCAC